TTCTAGCTGTGATTTACACATATGGAAGAAATATTTTGGTTTTAGTCACATGGAACAGAAGATTACATGGATCAATTTTAATTTTGTCCCCAATTCAGTATTTACACTTGTCCAATAAATCATGTTTAATCTTTTTCATACCTTGGCATACAATTATTTGTTCATGTTAATCTTAGAGTTTGAACATCTGCTCCCTATTGATTAGATATGTTAATCAAATAGATTTACCCTGACCACATTACCTTCCTGTCTTGAAAATCAAAAAGACAGTATCAAAAAACACTTAATACTTATTGCAAGTTATTGATCATTGATGACTTTTGAGTTTGATAGAACAGATGGCCTGATAAAAGGATTTTTGTTTTAGATATACTGCAAAGCCCTTGTAGGAATTATAGCTGCATTTCATAGAACAGTATTGCTCAAATCTATATCCTGATGTTTTCAACATAAAATTATAAATCAATATCAATAAGTATAGAGTAGACTAACTGTTCACATTACCAATTCTCAGAGGAAGAATTTTAACAATTGTCATTTGTTCCTTTCAATTACAATTTCAAACCACAGCTCATCCAAAATTCTTGATGACCAGAGATTGACAGCTGATCTCTTTTCTAATCGTCTAACATCTCCGTAAGGGAAAACTGACTGCTTACATTAAATGTCTCAAAACCCAAACTATTTGCCTTCCATCATCATTGATCAGACCCTGAACTACCACCAGTCACAATGAATAGATGCTCCCTCAGGGAGGACCATACCTTGAGCATCTATTGGGCCTTGAACTCAACCCTAACTTCAAGTGGAACTCATACATATGATCCATCTCTAAAGATGTAGGAGAAATAGTCAGTTCCCTGTACTGTTCCAGTAAGTCCCTGACTCCTCATGTTAAAACCAGAACAGGCTCAAAATGGTGTACTGCTGTCATATTTTGGTAGGAGCTTCCCAGTCCTCACTTTCGAGTCTCAATAGAGTCCAAGAGTGTATCCACGTCTTCGTGGATGACATATTATTTCCCACTCTGCAACTCCTCTCTCATAGACGAAATGTTGCAAGCTTCTCACTGCTCTATCACTACATCCATGGAAAGTGCTCAAACAAACTACATTATATAGTTCTCCCAGTTCTAACCTTCACATCTAGGACCCGCTATACTTCACACATTGTGGTGAAACACTCTCATTCCCTCTGTATTCCACTGATGAGGAGTAAGTTTCACTCAAGCACTTTCTTCCTGAAAACTACTGCTCTGTGGAACCAACTCCCAAGTGGAAGTTTTCCTGATCACTACAATCTTAACCAGTTCAAGTCTAGGTTTAACCATTATCTTCCCCATATATCTGCATAAACAAACTGTACCTAGTACTCTGTAACACTCTATATCGAGTGGCTCCCGGGCCTTGTAAATGTAAAAAAAAAAGTTAATCTACCAAAGAGAAGATTCCTAGAACTCTTCAGTACCACCCTAATATTAGTAATAATAATAAAACCATAAGATTAGAATATAAAAAATTAAAGTCATAACTTTCAAAACAGAAATTTTAAAGGTATATATTAATATATACAAATTTACTAAAACAAAAGGAGAGGAAGGACAAGGATAAGCAAAAAAAGACTCATTATATTAAGTCTAGCAGCCTTCACTCTGTAAGCAGAAGGAAATATTGCTGGGTTTAAATGTAATCTGTGATTTATATTGCTGACTAGATGAGGTACCTAGTGTTGCCCGGGTGTATATGACTGCAATTGTATAACTGCATCCTCTATATACCTACACCCCCTGTCTAGAAATGTCTGCCTGCATCCCTGCTTGCATGCATCATCTGTTGGCATGCTAAGCAACTGCCACCATCATCTTTTTTACAGTATGTCCTTTGCAAGTGTTTGGTTGTTCTTAATAAAGGAATTCCATTAATAAAACCATCCTGTGTGGTTGTTGCTCAGGGATAAATTGTTTCAATGTTTTAGATATTCGGTAAATTTCCTATGTCTGTAATAACTTTCAAATAGTATGGCATTGTTCACAAATCTAATAATCAAACAAAAACAGGGATGATGCATCAGAGCTTAGTTCAACTGCAAGTGCAAATGCATGAACGCTCCCCTCCTTCTTCGCTTGTTTACTGTAAAGCTGGGGTTAATTTTTCCTTTTTAACACTTCAATAATCTTTCTCAAACAATCTTTGCATCAATGGTTCTTCAAATGTCAATCTAGGATGGAATTATATGAAGAAACTATTGGCTAAATGGCAAAAGCCAATTTTAGACCTAGTTTGTCGCAGATTTTATCCACTTAACTGAAATAATCTAAACCAAACATTCATGCAAGACAATTTGTGTGTCATATGTAATTTACTTAGCATATTTGGAAAACATTGAATGAAAAATGATGGAGTTACATCCAAAAAACGGTCTTTTTGTACAGTTTTTTGTGTTTTTTCTTTATACATGGGGAAGGACTAAAACCACACATCTTATTTCTTGTATGATGGCAAATTTTTCATACTCTGTCAGAGCTATTTTCCTTAACAACAATCTTGTTTTTGGCTCATCTTCCCAGCCTGCATTCCTGACCAAATATTTGTTAATATCTATGAAAATGCTCAGAAAAAATCAGTCCTTCATAAGGATTGTATATAAATTCTGATATAGTGTTTTAGACAGTGTCTGGCATTGAAGAATTTATTGTTTTCTTTAGAATTATATCCAACAACTCCTGTTGCTGTTTTTATAGTTCTAACAACTGTTGATTTTGCTGTTGTTGCTGTTTCTTTTGGTGTTGTTGAATTTCAAGTATGGAAGCTAAAATTTTCTCCATATTTACAAGAACATGTTTTTTTTTAAAAAACCAACATGGTAGAAATTCTTGAAACTCCTATTACAACTCATGAGTTTCCAAAAATCCTCATTACAACAGTTATATGTTGTAAGAGTTCCAAATCCTCAACACAACAGTTATAAATCCTGAGTTTTGAATCACCACTATTATAACACCACTATTCTATGGCTATTGTTATAACACACTCTTACTTATATAATGGACTCTATATAAGTGTTGTCTATATGTAATACTTTGGTTACTTGCCATGATACCTGTATCAGTTAATCTGAAAACTGACTCCAGACTGCTACCAGTCTTACCTCTGACCTGGAGGACTTTATAGTAATGGATTAATTCATATAGTCACTTGGGGTATACTATTTACTCCACAATAAAAACTATGTTGCCCTGCATTTCCTTGTTTATGTTGAACACTTCCTGAATATTATATTAAGCAAATAACATACTATTCAGCATTGAATAATTATGGAATTTCATTTAACAAATTACAACAGATGGTGTGTTGATGGATTCAAGATGGTGACATGTGTCATGTTAGCAAGCTGAGACGACAGGAGGAAAGAAAAGAAAAATGATAGGATTAATAAAAGAAAAGAAGGTAAAGGGGGAAAAGAAAGAAGGTGAAAAGAAAGAAAAAAAAATAGAAAAATTAATAGATTGTAAAATAATCAAAAATGGAAAATAAAGACGGTGATTAAAAAAACAAAAGAAGAATGTAAAAAAAAAGAAACCAAAAAAGGAAAATAATTGAGAAAGAAAGATGAAAATTAAATAATTTAAAGAAAGCAAGAAAAATTAAATGATTGAAACATAATGAAAAGGGGAAAAGAGGGTGAGTCAAAAACAAAAATGTAAAAAAGAAAACAAAAAGAAAAATGATTGAGAAAGAATGAAAAGGGATCGAAAAAAAAGAAAAAAGAAAGAAAGATGTGAGAGAGGAAGAAAAAAAGTAAAAGAAAGATCCATACATTTTTAGACAAGAAACTTAATAGCATATTTATATTTATCTGTATATTCTGTTGGATGTTTTCAAAATAAATAACAATAAATGAGCAATCTGTTTATATAAAATAGTGTCTCTGGTTGTACAGACTTTTTGCCAGTTAAAGGTGATATTGTATCCACAACCCTTTTTCATTCTTATGATAACCTAATGTATGCAAGAATCTCACATTCAAGTTACCTTAACAACAGAATATCTCATTATCTCCAGTAGACGAGGTCAGACATATGAGCTATAAATATGTAAAGTTACCTTGTTTTTTATATTCTAGCATAGGTTAAAAGAGAAATAAATGAATAGAATAATTAACTTCAAGAAAGGAGTTTGTTTGATTTGTAATATTTGCTCAGGGGAGGTATCTATCTTCTTTTTTTAATATAAAAATATAATAATATAATTTTTCTTTAATGCCTAGCATAATTTTGAATATATGCCAAAACCATTTTATTCAAAATGTTGTATGAATCATGCTTCATAACTTAAATGCCTTGAACTTTATTTAATTCAACTTGCAATGATGCCAGATCAGATTCAAGTTATATAGTTTTATTGAGTCATTTAAAATTTAAAGAGAAAAACTGATACTGAATTTTTTTAACTGAACCAATATCATATTATGAAGTATATTTCTTTTAATTAAAGACAAAGAGAGGGATGGGTTCCACCAGGTCTGCTTGCTCAAGACAAGCTACACAAAAATGAATACCTCTCCATCTTTCAACCCAGATATGTAGAAGGAAATGGTCAGGTGCTCAGATGCACAGTGACACTATGACAACCACACCTATTCATAGGACTGATGATATATAAAAATATATGTATGAAAATCCCCCATGTTTTGAATTCATTTCTTTTAAAAACAGCAATCACGTCCATTACAAAATGGTAGCACCTCTTCGCTACATAGTAAACAGTGAAAATTTCATAACAAATCATTGTAATAAAGCCCTAATGTTGAAAAACACATTGTGAATGACTTACCAGACAAGGTTGTCAATAACAAGTCTATTTTCAGTACTTCAAATACAAGGTCATTTAGAAAAATTCATTATCACCTAAATTACAAGCTTTAGAAATTTGTTTGAAAGCCTTAGACTTTCATATTTAATGAAACAATAATTGTGAAGATGAAAGAGTAAGAAATCTTACATGATGATGAACTGGTTTTGTTGCTCTAGGTCAAGCATTATGGCTGCATCTTTAATATCCAAGCTGTCTATGGGAGTAGCAGATTGAGAATCAGCCTCATTTCTATAGCATAACAGTTGTCCACGGCTTTCCTCAAAAATAAACCAAAGCCTCTTTTTGGCTTTCAGTTTTTGGAAAGCTGAAAAACAAAAAAGTAAAATAAATAAAAATATTTTATTTTTATCTCTTAGCTGAAACATTGTTAATTTTTTTTTTAATATCACCCCATGCAAGGCAGTAAAGCCAATCTAGAACTGTGCTTAAATTCATAAAATCTAGGTACCACATGAACACTTACCATGAAAAAGGCACAAGGAAGCTACATTACTGTGGTGAGAAAGTGACTGAAGCTAAAATGCTAGGTCAGGAACAATAATATTGCTGATTCTTCTTTGGGTTTTATCAAGAACCCTTATACAGCAGGAGCACCAGGCTATATGTGGCAGCAATATTTGAGGCATGAACAAATGGTAGACTTATAAATATGTAAGATAGATTCAAGAGATAAAAATTGTCTGGCACGACACAGTAAACCAACTTTCTTAGCAGCAAACTTAGCAATAGATTCAATATAATCTTTCCACAATGTAAGCCAAGAATGTGAGCTGAAAAAGGTGCAACAAGTCACCCCCATGGAGGTCAGTATCAACCATGGTGATGGGAGGCAGGATGGGGGTCTTACAGATGATTGATAGAGAGAAATTTTGTTTTGGAGGCATTAAAATTAACATGATTAAATTATCACTATGAAATCTTTAATCATGTTTCTGTTGCTTTGTATTGCACTAATAGTATTAGATATAATGGTCTTTGAGTTTGTAATGTTATCAGTCCTGATCTGGCATCTCAGCTCCAGTCACTTTTCCACTGCCATAACATGTTTTTTTCTATTGATATTTTCATGGTAATTGTTCTAATGAGCTTTCCACTGGTACCTCAACCTCATGAATTTAAGCATAGTACTAGATTGGCAACTAAGTTTCATCATCTTACTGTTGAAATAGATATAACCATAAGTTCTATTCTGACAGTTTCTTCTATTGAACTTCTCACCTGTGGAACTCCCTTCTGGCTTCTTGCTTTTTTTGGTTAATTACGATCTTCAAAAATTTAGATGCAACATCAATCACAATCTTCTGTCTTTCTGAATATTATTCTTTTACTGTCCTTTCTCCCCACTAATGTTTTACCATTTTCTTTCAATCTCAGTAACTCCTTGCATCTTAGTGGAATTATCACCTTACTTGGGATGAAATGATTAAAAAAATATTATTAGATGCAGTAGATTCCGAAGTCATCTGGAGGCTGTGTTTGAAGCCAGTGGCGATTTTAGTGAATAAATTTACTCTTTAATATTTCAAGATATTTTTGTGCAATTTTGGGAAATATATCTTTTAAAATGAGATGTCTGTGTTATTTTCTTTTTTTTTTTTTTTTTGCATAATTTAGGCGAAAATTTATCCATCCCACCCTGTAAAAAATCTATTTACTATTTATTTAAGAACCTGTAATGCACAACCATTTTAAAAATGACATTTTTGAATTTTAAAAAGTAATCTTACAAAGAACCACAACTAATAAAATATTTATATGGATAAATAAATTTTTTATTTACATTTTTTTACTAAGTAGATTATCATATATGTTTGTTTGAACAACTTACTTTTACAATGATTTTTTTTTGTAATATCGTGTTTTATTTTGGCCTTCTTCAGGTTAAAATGTACTTTATAAAGTCTTATTGGGTTTATTCTATTTATAATCCAGTTTACACTGTACATCTGAAGAAGGCCAAGAAATAGACCGGCCTAGAGAAAAATAGCAACAAAACATGAGAACAATTTAAAAAAACAGCAGCTTAAGTAATTATCCCTGTAAAGGGACATAACTACGAATTGATTTGTAGAGTTATATCCCTTCATATATGAAGTGAAATCGTCATCAAAAAGATCTTACGGTACATATCATCTATCAGGTCATCCCATAAGTTCTGTCCCAATTTTAACTTTTTGTTAAAATGAACAAAATTTAAAGAGTATTTTATAATGTCTAATGGAGCTGAACTGTATTTTTATGTTTAGATGCATTTAAACTGATCAAATTTTATTTCAGAGAACAATAAAATTAAATTTTGTTTGATTAAAACCCTGCTAACATGGAAGTACCCAAGAATCATTTGAGGCACATAATGCTTTATGAGTTCAAGAAAGGAAACTCAGCAGCCGAAGCGGCTAGAAACATTCATTCAGTTTATGGAGAGGAATGTGAATGAAAGAACTTGCAGAAGATGGTTTGCAAAAATTCAGAGGTGGAGATTTCACCCTTGAAGATGAAGATTGAACTGGACGTCCAGTTGAGTTTGATGAAAAGCTTCTTGAAGCAGCCCTTGAAGAAAATCCTGTTTTATCAGTTGAGGAATTGGCAGTGGTTCTCAGTTCAAACCATACAACTGTTCATCGTCATCTTCAACAACTTGGAAAAGTTCCTAAACTTGGAAAATGGGTGCCTCATGAATTGTCTGAAAACAACCTCAAATCCCGAGTTGACATCTGCTCTTCTCTCCATTCTCGCCAACTTGTTTCACCTTTTTTGGATAGACTTGTGACTGGAGACGAAAAATGGATCTTTTATCGAAATGTTAGGTGTTGTAGACAGTGGCTTGGTAAAGGGGAAGGACCCCAGCCGAGAAGGGAACTTCATGGGCAAAAGGTTCTTCTTTCAATCTGGTGGGATCGCCAAGTAATAATCCACTTTGAATTCTTACCACCTAATGCAACAATTAATGCTCAAATATACTGTCAGCAATTAGAGCGTTTGAACCAAGCTTTGAGGAAAAAAAGACCTGCTCTAGTGAATCGAAAAGAGGTGATGTTTCATCAGGACAATGCGCGATCCCACACAGCAAGAATCATGTCACAAAAGATCAAGAACTTGGTTGTGAGAAAAATTCCTCATCCTCCTTATTCTCCCGATCTTGCTCCATCAGACTACCATTTGTTTCAGAAGCTTTAAAAATCATTTGGAAGAAACAGCTTTTGTAACACAGGAAGAGGTTAAACTGACATTTGTGAGTTCTTCGAATCAAATCCAAAAGAATTTTACAGTAATGGAATTAGTAAGCTTGTTAATAGATGGAAGGAAGTCATAGATAATCAGGGAAAATACATTGTTGATTGAATCTGTAATTAAATGTAACATTTGGTCACTTGTTTTCTTTATTCAAAATTTGGACAGAACTTATGGGATGACGTGATAGATTCTAATTTTGACAAACAATAAAATCTAATTTTATTTAAGCTTTTACAAACTAATTTGAATAAATAATAATTACTATTACTGTCCACATGTTGAAACACAGGAACTCATTCTCACACAATATAATGTTTATTATATTCACAAGTATTACATTCATCTACATACTGACATACCATTTGACAATGGTTAAGAAGTAAGGCTAGTAAACCATTTCTACTGTGTAGCAAGTTCAATCCATGTATTTTCTCATTATTCAACCTCACTTGAGATTATGGAGTCACAACCCTGTGCTGCAGTTAATGTGGGGAACAGTATAATCTTTTTCAATGCATGTATAGTATGCTCCTCACCAGAGTTACAGAAGCAGTTTTTAATTCAGAGTTGTCCTTCTTCTAGACAAGTTACTAACCACAGCTAGAAAGTATAGTCTACTCTGCTATTTAACTAATAGCTGGGGTGAGAACAGATAGATCCATGCCAAAAGGAGGTAGTGCCGCATTTGGATGAAAGTGAATGTTATAAACTTGACCAGAATTTGAACTTGCTTCAACAATTTCTTTTCCAAGCTGCTTAGCTATTACACTACTTGAACAGCCAAGCTTAGTAATCCACATTTATATCATTGTGCCAGATTAAGCTAATTTTATCTATACAAAAACTCACAGATATATACCTTCATACATATACCCACACACATATACCTTTATACATATACCTACATGCACTTGCCTATACATTAGGATACCATCTATATACTGATGATTATTAAACAGATCTCACAGGCTGTTATGAGGTTGATCTGTTTTGCCATGGCCTTGCACCAGACTAAACTAAGCTACAGATACACATTCATGCCATATACAGTTACTTATATTTGTCATGGTTTTAAATTTAAATTTCTCAAATATTTGATAGTCTCATAAATATACAAGGTAAGGGATCTAAGAGTTTGTTCTTTACAAGCAGACCAATTCTATGATGCAAAAGACTTCAAAACAGAGTCTCTACAGAAGAAAGCAAAGGAACTCTAACACAGTAAATCATGAAATACATGATACACTATTGCCAAAACACAAATGTAATCTTTTCTCATCAGTTAATGGAGACACACTATTTGTCTCTTCAAGTGAATCCTTAAATACATGCTAAACTCATAAATATACATCAGCTGATAGAATTATAAGGATTTTCCTCCTGCATGTACACTTTTGCATTACAAATGCATTGATGTGAAGCACACAAAGCATTATGCTTGTTTAACTTCAGGTAATTCATCACAGGAACCATAGACTCCAGTTCAGGGCAAGTGAATGGTTATTTTCAGTGCAACTTAGAAAATTTTCAAAGCAAATTCTTTCTACCCTTACCCCTGCTGTAAAATTTCCTCCTACATGCCTATGGTTAGTCTTATGAGTTTAATTATGGAATTTGTATAACAATGTATATTTGTGAATACATGGTTAGGTTAAGTTGGCTAATTTAATGACACCAAGTTTTGTTGTTTTTTTTAATGTCAGATATAAGTCATATGACAAAAATCACAATGAATTAATAGACACTAGAGCCACAAGCTAGACATAAATCCAGTTTACACTAAAGTAAAAAAGATAGGCATAGATCTAGTTTACACTAGTGTGAAACTCACTCTTTACACTAGTGTAAAAAAGATAGACCTAGGTCCAGTTAACACTAGAATCAAAATGGTAGACATAGGCCTGGTTTACACTAGTCAAAAAAGGTAGACATTAATGTGGTTTACACAAGAATCTAAACAGTAGACATAGGTCCAATTTTACTCTTGAGTTAAATAAGTAGACATAGGTCCTATTTACACTAGAGCCAAAATGGTAAAAATAGGTCCTATTTTGCTCTAGTCAAAATGGTACACATAGGTCGCCTTTACACAAAAAAGTGAGCATAAGTAGACACAGGTATGTTGCACACTACAGGCAAAAAGTTTAGGGCCACCTTGCATTTTCTTTAAATACACCTGAAAATGAAATATTCTTATACATTTTTTAAAGTAAAAGATAAAATTTCACCACCTACAGTGTATCTGCTTTTATTTTTCAGCCTTTCTCTAGGCCCCTTTACTACCAAAAAGTTAAAACTTGGATTTGTCAGTTCACAATACATTTTGTTAAATTATTAATAATTGTAAGAGAAACATATTGTGCTTTTCACCATAAATGCCTCAATAGACTTTTCAACTAAGTTAAATGTTAATACAGGTTCTAAATGTTAACTCAGTACTGACTAATGTTGTAAACAAAACATATGTAGCTGTCTCCGCTGAAGCAATTTGCACAAAATGGCAAAATGAAAGCAGCTGAGCATTGCTGTAAGGGTACAAGTTGAAATTTTATTCAAAGAAAGCTACTCTCAAAAACAAACTAGCAAGAAGTTGGAGACTTCTATACATGGGATGCAATATTCATCACAAAATCAGTTAGAAATTGATGCAGATGTTGACAAAAAAGAGCTGGATCACCAAAAGTGACAATTGTTGCTGAAGATAATCACTTGATTATTTATTAAGAGCAAAAGAAATAGAAGGAAAATGGCTCCAAAGTTGACTACTGAACTTAATTCTTTTTAATAGCAACCAGTGTTGCTCTCAATTGTGAAAAATCTACTTATATCAACAGGGTTCAGGAGGTACATAGCCATCAAGAAACTCCTGTTATCAAAGGTGAATAAGCAGAAAAGACTGTTATACACAAAAAAGCATAAGAACAGAACATTGAAAGAGTGACAAAATGTATTATGGACAGACAAGTCCAAATTTTAAATTTTTGGTAGTAAGAGGAGAGTGTATATGAAAAGAGAGGTGAAAGGCCGAATGATGAATGTGTGTTTCCAACAGTTAAGCATGGTGGTGGCTCTGTTATGGTGTGGGGTGTTTTTAGGGAGAGAGAGAGAGAGAGAGCTGGAGATTTGATTCAGGTCAAGAGAGTCATGAAAAAAGAACAATATCGTTCAATTTTGCAAACACATGCTATACCATCTGGTTTATGAATAAATGAGAAAAAAATTCACCTTTCAACAAGACAACAGTCCAAAACACTCTTCTAAATTATTTTTAAATTATCTCAAGTTAAAAAAAAAAACGAACAAAATTTTGGAAATTATGACTTGGCTGCTTCAACCTCTTGACCTCTTTCCCATTGAATTAGTGTGGAATGAATTGGATAGGAGAGTTCAAAGAGAATACTCAAAGAGTGAGAATGAGGTTTTTTCATTGCTTGAAGATTGCTTGCAAAGGTTTATCATCTATTTAAAAAAAAAAAATCTGTTAGAAAGAATGCCAAGAATTTATCAAGCAGTAATTAAGGCAGGTTCCGGTTTTATTGACAAAAACAAAATACGATGATGTTGTATGATACTTTTTTATTGTTAAGTGCTTATTTTTCGTCAAAATAAATGCAATTACCCTCTAGTTAATGAAATCTTATCTGTTACCTAAAAAATACAAAAATATATCATTTTAAGATGTTTTTTAAAGAAAGGTAGGGTGTCCCAAAACTTTTTGCCTGTAGTGTATATGAGTCTTTCATGAGTCTGAAAGTGTGCATGGATAAACTTGTGTAAGGATTTGTAAGTATCTATGTATCTGTGCAGATTTTATGGATGCAGAATTCAGAATGACAACTTGTTAACCTAACTCAATAGAACTATCATGTGGCATTTTTATAAATGCCACATGATATCTCAGATGTAACACTTAGATTTCTTTATATATATCTAAATTAAAGTCAGAAAAACAATTGATTGTAACTCACCTCCTCCAGGTTTGAAGTGCAAATAACCGGAAAGGCTGTGCCAACCTGACATTCTGTGCTCACTTCTTTAAATGGACCATACAAATTCAGAATTCACTACAAAACAAAATTTCAGCAAATGTTTGACTATGCATATGTATGTGTATATATATATATATAATATAAGTCATATATGTTATCTATAACATTCATATTTGTCATATAATAATAATCACATTTGTTGTATAATAACAGTCATATTTTTATATAACAAGTTATATTTGTTGTATAATAACTCTTATTTGTCATATGTTAATAGTCATATTTGTTATATAAAAACAACCACATTTGTCATATAATAATAGTTATTTTTTTCATATAATAATAGTCATATTTGTTGTATAACATTTACATTTCTCATATAAAAATGGTCATATATGTCATATGTTAATATTCATATTTGTCATATAATAATAGTCATATTTGTTGTATAACATTTACATTTCTCATATAAAAATGGTCATATATGTCATATGTTAATATTCATATTTGTCATATAATAATAGTCATATTTGTTTGTTGTAAAACAGTCATATTTTTCATTCTTCTTTGGATTTTATGAAGAATCTCTAATTATGTGACAGGAGTACCAGACAGTATGTGGCAGCAATTTTCAAGGCATGGACAAATGGAAGACTTATAAATATATAAGATAGATTCTGGAAAGAAAAATTGTCTGGCATGACATAGGGAACCAACTTTCCTAACAGTAGAACTAACAATTGATTCAATATAATTTTTCCACTTTGTTCCAGCAGAGAACGTTAGCATGTGAAGGTGCAACAAGTCATTCTCCTGGAGGGTAGCATCAGCCATGATGATGGGAGGCAGTTATGGTTCTCTCAGATGATTAATAGAGTGCAGTTTCATTTTGAAGGCATTAAAATTCACAAGCCATTCCTTGTCCCTGTTAACAGCAGATTGTAAGTCATTTTTGAGACCAGCTGACAATTTACGCATAACAAACTGATCAAACTTACTATTGAGATAGGAGTTGACTGTAATAAAACTTACATTTTTACTTGATGCTTAAGTATATAATTCTGTTAAATCAGAAATCATATTGGGTGTATTTAAAAAAAAATTAATATGAAGTGCTTGACAGCATTTTTCTCAGACAGCTACATTAGTGAAATTGGTCCTAATTGGGTCTTATACATTTGTGGTCTTGTGCTAAATAAGTGATGCTTACTAAATACCAATAATACATTTGACCAAAATTTTAATTTTAGTTTGAAATTCCCAAAATGCATGTCAACAGTAAAAGCTAATACAGAGATAGGGAGAGAGAGAGCTACTATAATAAAAAGAAACAAATAGGATGAAAATGCAAACAAGACAAACTTATATATATATATATATATATATATATATATATATATATATATATTTTTGAAATATCCATTCTGATTACTAATATATTATCATTATATATATATATATAGATATATATATATATATATATATATATATATATATATTAATCATGTTCACCCCAAGCAAAGCAGTAAAACCATTGAGACACAAGGGATTAATGGGTGTGGAAGTATTAGAAACTGGAACATTGCTAGCAAGTGAGAACAGAAAGAGTGATCCAAAAGACAGTAGATAGCAATTAGGGATTATGGCCACATTATGTTGAAACACTGGTTCCCATATGAAATTAAGCAACATCATTGCCTAAATGGCTGACTGCTTGGGAATACCAGGTGCTGTAAGCTTGATTGTGTGATGTAATGGATAATGGCTTGGAATTGTTAATTGGAGAGTTGAATTCCAATTCCAGTTGGGTTCATTATATTCACTAAAGGTGCAAATAACCTTGGAAAAGGTATGCACTACCATTTCTCCCCCAATTATGGATTAATTAGTAAGACTTTTTTTACATAACGTTTAAAGTGATATATATATATATATATATATATATATATATATATATATATAAGCGAACATAGAAGTCAACACTTAGAGGCAACAGTTTGTTTCATGCTAGATGCAATCCTCAGGCCACCCGTGTTGACTTCTATGTTCACTTTTATATTTACACATGCTCTATCTCTGATATTGAGCACTTTATCCCATAAATATAGCACATCTTAAGACTATATTTCTTCATATATATATATATATATATATATACACACAGAGGATATGATGAGTAAACTGTTGCTATTTTATATTTTAAATTTCATGCATGCATATTATTTGTTTTTGATTTTGTTGGCTGCAAAATATAGTAAAAGGTCAGTCGGGCACCATCTGTAAGAAAAAGAGCACCATAATGCAATTCACTCCACCAGAAATTTGGAAACTGATACTGTACTGCTTGGCATTTAGGCTGGAAACTCTAATTTCAGCATGTTTAGGTGTCAATCTGAGGACAGTGCAGAGGATTCAGAAAGACATGAGTCTAATGGTGATTACGAAGGTGTTTGGAGTGATAACTAGGGATGGCAATGTTATGCCTCCATTCATCTTCCCACAGGGCCTCAGACTCAACACGGAGGTCTACATCAAGTGCCTTGAAGAGGTAGTGCTTCCACGGAGTCAAGAGTGTGGCTGCTGGAAGACCCTATGTCTGTCAACAGAACTCTGCACCATGCCACACAAGCAGGAGAACCCAGTCATAGCAGTCTGACAATTTCTGCAACAATATCACTCCATACATCTGGCCACCTAAGTCTCCAGACTGCAACCCCCTTGATTAAAATGTGTGAGATTCAGTTGAGCGAGAGACCAACAAAACTCCTTGTAACATTATGGCAGCATTCACCAACTTAAACAAGGTGACCATCCAGAAGAGATGCAGGAGATTCGGAAGTCGTCTGGAAAGCTGTGGATGAAACCAAATGTTATTTTTTCATTTTTGCGTAATTTAGTCAACAATTTATCCATCGCACCCAATATATATATATATATATATATATATATATATATATATATATATATATATATATAGAGAGAGAGAGAGAGAGTAGAGAAAGTAAGTCTACATATGATTCTTACAGAATGTTAGTCTGATAAAAGAAATTTAAAAAACAGAATAATAATAATAATAATAATAATAATTATTATTATTATTATTATTATTATTATTATTATTATTATCATATATTATTAGACCAATAGACAAAATACAAGCATGGCAAAAAAATGTTAAAAAGCAGAAATTTTAGACACACCTGTGTTCTTTCTCAATAAAAAATAAAATGAACTTGCATTCTATTTTTTGAAAAAAAAATAATTTAAAGAAAGAAAAAAACATTTATTTTTCATTTAAAAAAATATTTACTTTTCATTGAAAATGGAGAGGTGTGTCCAAATATTACTATTTTTATTATTCTTCTTAAAATTTATTTAATCAGCTTCCTATACCTTTACACACACACACACATGCACATATATATCACATGACTCTAAATGACTCATGTAGAGAACTCAATCTTTAATAATTTTGTCAAGCCTGTTAAATATCTTTAATGTATTGATAACATATTCATATTAATAAAAAACCTAGACAAAATAAAAAATCTTAAATAAACCTTCAAGAATATTTCCATTCTACACTTTACACATGACATGATCTTAACATTAGAATCTCTTTCCCTGAAGGTTTTATGTATGCAGTCATAATTTTACTATTTCATTGAACAGAAAAGCCGCAAGGCAAAATTTGTGTTTTCTAAATTACAAAAATGAATGTCCTCACAGATATAAAATAGATAATATCAAAAGCATGATTAACCAAGCTAAAATACAATTTCTTCCTAAAATACATTATTTTATAAAAAAAACTAGCAGTAGAGCCCAGCGTTGCCCGGGGATGTAACAGTAAGAGATAGATCAAGTATCGACCATCATAAAGACTGAAAAATAAAATTGACAAAGATTATTGTTTAAGTTTGACAGACACGCATGTCTTAATTAGATTTTGTTTTTTTTGTTTTGTTTTTTACGAATTAGTCAAACCCAAACTCAAACAAAAACATTCTTTTCAATCGTTATGAGTCTACCGATTGAATAGAATTTTTATTATAAACAATTGTCATGTAAATGGAATTTTTAAAGCATTCTGAATGTAAAAATAAAGAAAAAAGTGTGCAAGACAATAAGAAACACTACCTGCCAAAAAAAAAGTAAAGTTTTGTTGAAATCGGTTGAAAAATGTAGGAAATCCGATCCAATATATAAACATACAGACACACACACACACAACCTGGGTTTTATAATAAGTATGATGATCTAACAAATCTTATTCATTTAGTAGCCTTTCTGTAATCTTTTACAATTTATGATTTTTACTTATTGAATACAGTAAAAAAATTTGGACACCATGTGTATTTAAAGTAGTTTCCGGTTATTATTTTTAGTTAGGAGGACTTGTGTATGTTTAGATTTCATTTGTTTATTTTTTGTGTATCATTCTCTGAAAAAAAAACGCTGAGTCACAGGAAGTTAACGGCATTCAGACGTTTGAGTAGTCAGCAGTAACTTCCGGCCGGGTGCGATACACTTAACCGTGCTTTCAAATTGATTTCATGCAAAAACAATAGTTTTTCCAAAATTTGGTGCTGTTAGAACCATCGCTAGGTAAATTTATATAGTCCTGTGAAGTTTTGTTGAAATTGGTTGAAAAATGTAGGAAATCCAATCCAATATATAAACGTACAGACACACACACACACAATCTGCATTTTATAATAAGTACGATTAAGCCATTTAAAACAAATACTTGCTTTTCAGCAATAATTTTAAAGTCATGTCATCCATAAACAGATGAAATTATCTTTTAAGAATTTTACAAAAAATAACACACAACATTTGATATAAACAAAAATAATAACATCAATAACTTATTCTACCATAACTATATACACTCTAGCTATAAACAAAATGAAAAAGCTATTAAATATGCAAATTGCTACAATACCTAATGATTCCAATAAATACCTTATATTTATCATTTACTACAAAATGTTTAAAACATCTAACATAATTATTGCCAATAACTGA